TGCCCGGCCCCCCCCACTGCCGCCCCCCCCCCCCGCCCCCGCGCGCGCGCGCGCGCGTGTGTGTGTGTGTGTGCACAATGGTTTACAGTCTCCCTCTGTTGGATGCCTTCTCCATAGGCTCATAGCAACCTTGTTGGGAGGATAGGGGAGAACATCAGAGCTTAGAAATATATGTTGCTCCAAAGGGGTGAATGCCTTCAGAGTTTATTAGTTGTTCTTGTTTGTCTATTTTAGTTTTGGATAGGGGTGTCCCTACTTACCCCACGGTGCCTGTCCGGTGCTCCTGGCAGGCGCAAGTGACGCGGGGGTCGAAGTCTCTGCGCACGTGCAAAGCGGCCTCCTTCCTCAGGCACTAGGAGATACATAAAGAGAATGGGACTCACCCACTCCAGGCTCTTGTCCCGCAGCCAAGTAGCCTGGGCTAGGGGTGGGGTGAGATGCGGACCACCCAGGGAACAGCGGGGCAAGCTGGACCCAGGGCTAGGCGGGATCCTCTAACAGGTCTGGTGCCGCCTCCTCCCCGCCCACAGTCTGCTGCAGCCAGAGACCCGACGTGGCACCAGGTACCTACCTGGGGCAGCTCCGCCAGGATGCGGTCCCTCCGCACCGGCGCCAGGATGTTCATTTTGTCTCCCGCCTTGCCGGGCGCCCTGAGAAGGTGCGGAGGTCGGATCCGCCCCGGCGGCCCGAGCCCGTGGAGATCCGACGATCACCCGCGGCCGCGGAGTCCCGACGATCACCCGGGGCCACGGGGAGCCGGCGGGAGCCCTCGGCCTAGAAGATGCTACGACCACCGCAGGCCACGGGGATGAGACGGTCACCTCGGGTCGGGCTGACCCTACAATCACCCGGGCCCGGGGCGTCCCGAAGACGACTCGGGGGCGGGGAGACCCCCCGGCGGCTAGCTGGGGGCGGGGACTCGAGTCCGGGGGAGTCCGGGCCCGCGCGGACCCGACGATGATACGCGGTCGGATAGCTCCTACGATAACTCGGGGCCGAGGAGACCCGACGACAACTCGGGGCTGGGGTGGCCCTACCATAACAGAGAGGCTCGGGGGCACGGGGCGGCCCCGCCACCCGGGGTCTGTGTGCGCAGGGGCAGCGCAGCCCGGGTCCGGGAGCCGCAGAGAAGGGGGCAACGGCTCCGACCCGCCGCCAGGCCTGCCGTCCCTCTGCGCTCCAGCTCCGCGAGAATGCTGTAACATGATTCCCGGAAATTCCTGGACAAGGGCCGCCCCCTGCCCCTCACCCCGCCGCTCCCAGGATCGCAGCCGCGGTACCGCGGCCCTCACCAACTCCCTCCTCCCTTCCCCACGCGCTGCCCCAGGCTCAGGCTTGCGTGCAGGGCGCCTCACCTCACACCAGGACCGCCTCCACCCAGGCTGGAGCCTGTCCAGATTGGGATCCCCCAAGCTTTTCTTCCCTGCAACTTGGTGTTAGGACTGCATCCTGGGGACCCCTTACCCAGCCGAACTGGTGATAGGAAACTGTGACTGCTGCGCAGCATCTAGCAAGACCCGGAGCTGGGGAGGGGCAAAAGGGAGAGAGGGGGGCCCATGGAGAGGCGGCGCTTCCCTCCACGACTTCAGGACTGGGACATGACTCATAGAGTCCGCCCCTGCTCGCCCTTCTGCCCTGGGAGGTGGGAGAAAGGGCATAAAAGGGGGTGCCAAGATTAGGAAATAGGTGCCCACCAAGAACCGAGACGTCCCAAGACAGATGTCTTTTTCGTGGAGGTTTAGGTGGACTGAGAAACTTTGCCTTTTGGTATGGTCATCGTTCCAGAACACTAGGAGTCTTCCAATACGGGCGTTAATTTTTCTTGCCCAGTTGGAACCGCTACTCGCCCAAACCAAGACTTTTCTTTTTTTTTGCAAAGTTCTGTAGGATAAAAGAACAGTCAATTTCACCTTCAAAGCAGACAACTGGCTGCAGGAGGAAAGGAGAAAGACAGGAGTAGAGTGGGTTAGACACCCTCAAAGAAGCAATCCTGCTGATTGTGTAACTTTTTTTCTTTTTTGGTCTTTTTGAGACACGTTCTCCCTGTAGCTTCAGCTGGCCTGGAACTATGTAGACCAAGCTGGCATTGAATTCACAGAGATCCCCCTGCCTCTGCCTCCTGAGTGCTGAGGTGGCACCACTCCCTCTGTGAAACTTTATTTATACACACAGGTATATATGAAGAAGTAGAAACTTTGTTTTGTGTCTGGAGCTAAATTTGAAGATGCAAAGAGGACTGAAAACAGAAAGAAGGATAGGGGACTGACATTCACAGGAAAAACTAGGGAATCCTAGAGACACCTATATGCTGTGTTTCAGAAGTTGCTAAGAACCCCGTAGGGAGTATATTATTGAAGTCTAGCATGGGGACTCACATCTGTGATCCCAGCACTCATGAGGCAGAAGCAGGACTCCTGAAAAGTTCAAGGCCTGGACTACAGAGTGAGACCTTACCTAAAATGAAGAAAAAAAGCAGGGCATGGTGGTGCACACCTTTAATCCTAGCACTCAGGAGGCAAAGACGGGCAGATCGGTATGAATTTGAGACCAGTCTGGTCTAAATAGCATGTTCCAGGCCAGCCATGTCCACATAGTAAGACTTTGTCTCAAAAATGAATAAGGGGGCTAGAAAGATGGCTCAGTGGTTATGAGTACTCACTGGCTGTTCTTGCAAAGAATCCAAATTCCGTTTCCAGCACTGACAATGACAGCCACTAACAACCATTTATAACTCCAGTTCCAGGGATCTGGTGCCTTCTGACCTCCATGCATGACAGGAGTGTACTTGCATGTACACAGGCATTACACTCATACATATAAAATAATAAAAAAAAAATAACAGATAAGCGATGGGTGTGGTGGCACGGGAGACACTTGGGAGGCAGAGGCAGGCGAAGCTCTGTGAGTTCAAGGCCAGCCTGGTCTACATAGTGACCTAGTGAGTTCCAGGCCAGCTGGGGCTCAGGGAGACCCTGTCTCAAAAAAAGACCAAAAATTAAATAGCCAGGCTCAGGTGGTTCAGGCCTCCTTTAATCCCAGAGGCAGGCAGATCTCTGTGAGTCCAAGGCCAGCCTGGTCTACATAGTGAGTTCCAGGCTAGCTGGAGCTACAGGGAGACCCTGTCTCAAAACAAAACCAAAAATCAAACAAAACTTAATAGCTGGGCATGATGGCACACACTTTTAATCCTAGTACTTGGAAGCACAGGCAATCAGATCTCTGTGAGTTCAAGGCCAGCCTGGTCTACATAGGGAGTTGAGGCCAGATGGGGCTACAAAAATAAAATAAAAATAAAATCAGGAAACTGATGGGGAATATGTGGCTGCTTTGCAACTCTCTTGGCACTCCTCCCCCATCTCACCCTTGATTTTTTTTTTTTTTTTTCTGCTCCCAAATCAATGTGGTAATTGCTAAATCACATACCTCTTTGGAACCTCAGTTTTCCATATATGTTGTCTGAAGGAGTTAGGGGTAATCCTGCTCTAACATTCTACAACATTGCTACAACTCCACTAGTCAAATTGTATTCTGTTTGTGACAGAGTCTCACTATATAGCACTGAGTGGCCTGGAAATTACTATGTAGGTCAAGCTGGCCTTGAACTTGTAATTGTCCTCCAGTATCCAGCGTGCTGGGATTACAGGTGTGGTTCACACAGGGCTTCAAATTCTGTTCGTCCCAGTTTGTAATGCTGCTGTCTTCTGACACTACAACCGTCTCCTGAGACTGTAAGTTGCTCAAGATAGGAAGCATCCAGGACCAGACTCAACAGGCAGCTGCTACAACCACCCACAGGTTTAGGTCTAGGGAAAAACAAAACAAAACAAAAAAACTTCCAAAAACTACAACTCCCAAGATGCTTCAGGGCCTTTGGAAGGGTGAGGTGGCGCATGCTTCGTCCTGCTCGCTAGGAAATTAAATTGAACTACAAGTCCCAGGAGGAGACTTGCTGCTGCTGATCCAATCAGCTCTAAATAGGAAGCATCGCGAATCTTTGGTGAGATTTCGTCCTATAAGCTCATGGGAACGAGGCTAGGAAACCCTTTTCGCCAACATGGCGCCGAAAGCGAAGAAGGAAGGTGTGTGCTGGGCCTTGGGGCTATGGTGGGTTTGCGTGTGATGCGCGCAAAGCGAACTCACTAGCAAGACGGCGGCTGGGCTAGGCCTTGGGAGACTTGTTCTGGGGCTGCTGTCCGCGGGTAGGCCGCACCGCAGCGCACGTGGGTCGCTGTGCTACGCCGCATGGACCGGGCTGCTCGGAAGCGTGCTGGGGAGGCCGCCCGGTCGGCGTCATCCCCCGGACATAGCTAGACAGATGGTCTGGGAAGCGCCACACATCCACATGGTGGCGCTCCATATCTCCAGACCCTTGAACAGCTAAGGTCTCTGCGTTCCTCGCTTGCCCTCTTTTTTCTTATTAACTCGATCGTGTGGATCTCCGCTCTTGGTTTCGCGAAGGTTTGTGTAAATCTCCGAGCACAAGGCGGGTCGGGCGGTCCATCAGTGCTAGCCACTTTTTTCTTCCTCGTGTCCTTGTGGTTACTCCAAGTTGATTGTCTTCGCCTGCAATATCGTGCGTGTGATGGAAAAAAAATTTAACTCCTGAGACCTGTGATGTCTTAAAAGGAACCACTGATGAGCGAGTTGACAGGGGCGCCGGTTGCAAGTCTTGAGGCCTTCAGGGATCAGTTTGTGAATGCGGCATCCTGGTTTTCTTTCCTTCTCTCTCAGCTCCTGCTCCTCCCAAAGCCGAAGCCAAAGCGAAGGCGTTGAAAGCCAAAAAGGCCGTATTGAAAGGCGTTCACAGCCACAAAAAGAAGAAGATCCGCACGTCACCCACCTTCCGGCGACCCAAGACCTTGCGGCTCCGGAGGCAGCCTAAATACCCTCGCAAGAGCGCTCCCAGGAGAAACAAGTCAGTACTGCCCCTGTACCCACGAGTGGGTATTAGGGTCATTTACTAGGGTCCCTAGAGCTTGTCTTAACCACGCTGGTGTCCAGTGTGCTGCTTTGATGGGAGTGTGAGGTTTCTGAATCTATTTCATATTTCCTGTGTTAGGTTAATTATTCACATATGATGCTCTTATCTTGGGGTTCCAGGTTTCATTCCCTTGTTTGTGGCACTTTTTGCTACAGGGGACCCCTCTTGATGGAGGGTGTAGGTTGATGTATGTTAATATGATTCAGTAACCTGTACTGGGCAGTGATGGCCAGCTAACGCTGTATAGAAGAGGATCTTTTCCACAAAATTGGGATGGAGGCTCTTTGAAACAGGGTCTGTCTGTAGCCCTGCTGGCCTGGAACTCAAGGTGTAGAACTGGTTAGCCTTGGGACTGGAGCGATGGCTCAGCGGTTAAGAACACTGGTTGTTCTTGCAGAAGATTCCCAGTACTCAAATGGCAGCTAACTGTCCTTAACTCCAGTTCCAAGGGACCCGACGCGGTTGCACTTACCTGCATGCATGCAATACACGCATACACATTAAAAAAATAAAGAAAAAAACTGGTAGGCTTCTATCTCAGAGATCCGCCTGCCTCTGCCTTCTGAATGCAGGGATTAAAGGCGTGCACCCACACCCGTTTTCAGTCAATTTTAATAAGGGAAGTTGGGAGTAGTAGGTACAATGTTTACTGAGAAAGGCATGAGATTTGTGTCCACAGAGGACAGTACCCTGTGCCAGTATGGAGCTAGAACATGAGTGTAATAACTTGAGTACTATCCTGGAGGGGGAAAAGGGGTTGGGAATCAGTGGCTTTTGTGAGATGCTGTCTCAACAAATACATTTGTGACAAGGTGTGGTCATGCAAGCCTTTAATCTCAGCACTTGGGAGGCAGAGGCAGGCGGATCTTTGTGAGCTTGAGGCCAGCCTGGTCTACATAGTGAGTTCCAGGTCAGCAGGGCTACAGGGAGACCCCTGTCTCTAAAAGCTGGGGAAAAAAATTTTATGCGTGGGTGTTTTGTTTGCATGTTTATATGTGCACCACATGCATGCAGTGCCCTCCATGGTTTGTGTGTGTGCTTTGTATTTTTTAATTCTCTTGAGCATAGCCATTTTTTAAGCAAAAATTCTAATCTGCAATCTAAGTTGCTAACATGGAACTCCTCCAATGAATGAATGGGTAGGAGTTAAGAGTGGAGTATAAGTCAAAGAAAATGTACACAGGTTCTGCCTCCAGCAGGGCCTTAAAATCTCCAGGATTCAGGGTGCATGTGATGACACTGGCGACCAAAGTCTGATAAAAATGATTGCTACCTTATTGTCTGATGCACCTACTCTCTCCTGGTTTGGGCTCTAAAATAAGGCTCGTCCTTTTGAATACTGAACTCAGCAGTTAACTCCATTCTGCTCTCCCTACCTCAGGCTTGACCACTATGCCATCATCAAGTTCCCCCTGACCACTGAGTCAGCCATGAAGAAGATAGAAGACAACAACACACTTGTGTTCATTGTGGATGTCAAGGCCAACAAGCACCAGATCAAACAGGCTGTGAAGAAACTCTATGACATTGATGTGGCCAAGGTCAATACCCTGATCAGGTCAGGAGCCAGAAAGCATGTACCATGTCAAGTTTCCTCTTATTTTTTTGGGGGTACAGGGTCTCCCCGTAGCTGCAGATGGCCTGGAACTCAGAGCCTGAGTTGCCTCCTGAATGCTGGGATTAAAGGCATGCATGTGCCACAGTAGTTTCTTTGGGGTCAGAAGTAGGTTTTCTAGAGTATAAACCTGAGGAAACTGTCATCCCAGTTTGAGTCTTAACTTCCTCTGCGCAAATGATGGAAAACTCACTATTTGGAAAAGAATGACACCAACAAAGGAACCACTGATGCGCCAGAGGACTAGGGGAGGAATGTGGGAGGATTTGGGGTAATGAGAGCATGTTCTGAGGCTCCCTTCTCCACCCAGACCTGATGGAGAGAAGAAGGCCTATGTTCGTCTGGCTCCTGATTATGATGCTTTGGATGTTGCCAACAAAGTAAGCTTCCTTGGAGAAAGCTAGCACCACCCCTTGTGTGCAAATGATGCATCTGTTACTGACCAAAACTTAGATGGCTGAATCCTTGTCTTAACAAGTCAGCCCTACCTCCCTCCATTTTGTCCTGCCCCTCACCCCTTTTTTTAAAGAATGTGTCTTGCCTGCATGTAAGGGCACCTGTGTTGTGCAAAGCCGGGATTCCCCTGGAACTAGAGTTACAAGTTAGCTGCCATTTGGGTGCTGGGAATCAAACCTGGCTCCTATAAGAGTAGTCAGTGCATCTCTCCAGTTCCCCCATTTTGCTTTTTAACTAAGATAGTCCAGTTTACTTAACCTTAAACATTTCACCTCCAATAACAAAGCTCCGTTTTTGTCTTTCAGATTGGGATCATCTAAGCAGTCCAATCTAATTCTAAATACAGATTATTTTTCACCATAAATGTTGTTCTTTGTCTTTTTGTCACTTTCTGGTTGGGCTTGGGGGAAGGCTATACTATGGCACATGCCAAGGGTTTGTGTGAGACCAAGCTTGTGCTTCTGAGATATTTTCCCCAACCATGAGCAGAAAATGCCCTGTACTTACTCTGATGGAACAGAGTTAGAGCCCCCCATGCAGGAGCTCAAGTAGCAGAGGTATTTATTACTCACACAGTGATTAGTTGTCCTAGTATATAACTAAGACATGCCTCTATTGTAGGTTAAGAGAACAAGCATTACAAGAGTTCTTTCCTTTATCCTGAAGAGTTTATCCAGAATTTGGAAGAGCAAAGGGGTTATTTTAGAGTTGTCAGCACCCATTTCAGGGTAGTGTGGATTGGCTGGCTTTTGGATAGTGCCATGCCCTCACACCCATCTACCATGTCGAACCGGTCTGTCTGCCCCATCACTCCTTGCCCAATAAAAAGGACTTCAGAGGAGAGCTTTCATTAGTGTTTTAAATAACGTGGGTGTAGAACCAAGGTGGAGAGCCTGATCCCAGAGTATATCCAAGCTTGGGGCAATGTCCTAGTTTGTTACAAGGCTGTTGGCAGTCCTTGCCACATGTCCTGGGTTCTCACTCAGTCAAGAACTTGTCTTTGTGTTGGCGGCTGGGAGTGCGCTGAGGGCAGAAATCAGATCGTAGGAGACGGGAAAAATAGACGAGGATCATCACATTGAGCATGAGCAGGATGCCCAACAAAAATCCACCCAGGTTCCTCTGGCCTGCATACTGGAGGAAGAACTTTGTGAGATAGGCCTGAGGAGCCAGGCGGAAGAGAAAGTACATGACCAAGTTGACATACTTGTTGACCCGGTAGAGGAGATGATCCTGGGCATTGTTGATCTTCATCATCATGCGTAATGTGAGGAAGATGTTGCTGACTTCTACCAGTAGTATTAGGACGCCTCCACCAACAAAGCTTTTCCAAAAGATACCAGAGAAGAAGGCACCCATAGCCTAGAGGACAAACAACGCAAGGGCTGGGTCCTGTGTGGTCTTTCCTGAGGGGACCAAAGCACCAAATGGCTCAGGTGGCATTTTTTTGCATTCACTGGTGTTAGACTTAGCTCTGTGCTGTGCACAGGATCTAGACTTGTGGCATTCCTAGTCTGTGCACCACACAGGTACTCTGCTGGTCTCAGGGTGACCAAGAACAGAGAACCCTAGGCTTGAGAAGTTGGACACAACCTGGGGTTAAGACAGCCTCCCTCCCAGGCTCAGAAGAGGGTGAGACCAACCCTCACCAGGACTATCACACCATCTGCTTCTCACTCACCATGACATGATGAACAAGATATTCCCAAGATGCCCGAGCCTGTTGACTAACCACGATGTCCACTGTGTCATGGATAAAGTACCCTAGTGGCAGAATAGGGAAAAATCATGAAAAGGAGTAGACACTTTGTTTTCAACCTCCTTCCCTCTTTACCTCAGCCTCCTTGGGCATAACCTACCTGCAGAGAAGCAAACAAGCAAATAGCCTGAAAGTGACCACGCCATCTCAATGTCCAGTAGCATTTCAGGAGTCTGCCATATGCTGGGAGGGAGGGCAGAAGAGAGGTTCCATTGCAGCATCCTGAAGGACCCTCACTTTCCCCAACACCCTTGCCAGTCCCGGGGGAGGCTGCCACTATTGGCTGACGGGAGCAAGGAGGGGCTTGGCCGAAGCCCAGGTGCCTCGGGTTTCCCAGAGCCACTCTTGGTAGGGTAGTTTCCCAAACAGGGAATCAGGTGAGATCTCTGGCTAAGTTCGCCCCTGAGTGCTGGGAATAGTAACCAGGCCAGCCCGAGCACCCCGCGCAAGATCCCACGGCCACCTCACTCCGGTCGTTCACTCACCATAGCAGCGCCCAGATCCCTGACACAATGGAGTGGGCGAAGGAAACCAGCAGGTTGTGCCAACGCCAGGTGCGCAGAGGGTCGGTGCGCACGTGAGCAGGTAGGGGCAGGCGGCAGAGCGCGCGCCGGAGTGCCCGGAAGGTCAGCGTGGCGCCCAGGAGCAGTGGCCAGGCGGGGTGTAGCAGTGGGGGCATAGTGGCCCTCCCTGCCGTCTGTCTGTCCACCCTTCAGGCCGCCTCCTCGGGCGGTTCTGGGAAAACGGCTAGGTCTCCGGCCAGCGCGCCACGACCGCCTCAGCACCGGGCCTCCAGCCCCACTAGGTTTTCGTGAAGCCCTCTAGGCCCCTTCGCTCCTCCCCGCGCTGCCCGCGAGGCCTCTGCCCGCCCCTGCCGCCCGCGCCCCTGCCCCGCCCCGCCGTTGCCCCCGCCCCTCGGGCGCCTCTGCAGCGGAGGGCGCGAGCCCATTCCCCCCGGGCCTCCGGGCCCCGCCCGGATCCCGCAGACTTCGGGCAGGAAGGGGCTGCGTTGGGGCCGCCGCCGCCGCCGAGGTACCCCTGTCTGGCGCCTTCCGACTGCCGGGCTTGTCCTCGGCCGCCCGCGCTCGCACGGCCTCATTAGCCCGCGTCCCCACTTTCCCCGTGGACACCGGCTTCTCCGCCCTGGGCGGGCACCGCGAGAACTCTCCTCCCTTAAGTCCTTTCTGGGCAGAGCTGGGCGGGACCCACCGCACACCCAGCGCTCCTAAACCCTGGTCCTGGGGGGGCTGGGAACCCTACCTCAGACCATGGCTCCGCCCCGACTTGCTTCCGGAGCTGGACGTGTTTACCTGTCTCTCTCGCGCCCCGCGCGAGGGGTGCTTAGGAACTGTTGAGTCACCCATCATCACCTCTCCTCCCAGCCACTGGGGGCTGCTGGGGCCCAGCGGCTGTCACAGTCCTCCCTCGCCTGGCTCCCTGCCCTCTCCTGGCTCCCTGGAGGCTAGGGCGGGGAAGACTGCGGATTTGCCCAGACAGCTGGGGTGACCCTCTCTCCAGGCCAGTGGCGTGGCGCGGTTGCGGCTTCTCGCCACTAGGTGTCAGACTATCATTGTGCTGCGGGGTCCAGCCGCGCCTCTAGAGAAGGCTGTCGATTTGCATAGCGGAGGGGGGAGATGAGCAGACCCTGAGGAAACAGAGAAGCAACCTAGAATCAGTGGGGGAAGTAAAGTGGCGGGTGTCTAAGGAAGGTGGAAGTAGAGGGAATGGTGGGGACTAGGTTTCAACAAGAAAAAAGAAACTAGAAGCCCAAGGCTCAGGTGCCCAAGGACCAAAGCCAAAGTTTGAGGTCTCCCCTGATGGTTCCAGAATTACACATTAACCCCCTCTGGGCTCCAGGTCCAATCGATGTCCTGGGTGAGCAGCTTTCTCTGTCTGCATTCCCCTTTTACTGACCAGACAGCCTGTACGCCAGACCGCTCCGGCCTGACCCGGTGAACGCAGGTCCCTTCTAGTTCTTACGAGTAAGCTAGTTTGGGGCCGGGCGGGACGAAACATCCCTTTCCTCACGCTTTTCACCCGATTCCCAAACTGGACGACCCTTAGTAATTACCCTTAGTAATGCCCATTCACCCCCTGAATACAGAGATTTTATAGCTCCGGTAGGGCAGAAAGCGCCAGGACGAACCCCTAGTAGTGATAGCAGCCCACCACTTCCGCCGCTTTGGGGTATGGTTTCCATCCGCTCCCGTCCCCCCCCCCGCCCCCCGCCCCGGGTACTGGAGGAGCACCCAGGGCTGATCTCCCTACGGCGTTGTACTGACGACTGCAGTGCTCACCAGTTGGGACAGCCGGGAGACCACGTCACGTCCTCTCCAGGTGAATCTGTTTGGCCAACTTGGGGTTCTCCCAGTCCCTCCCTCGACAAACACCAAACCAAGCCTGCTCTCCACCCAGACTTGAGAGTACGCTCTCGGTTCAGCCTTCGTTCTTTATCTTTTGCTTTCCGGTTAGGATCCGCTTTTCTCTTTCTGCAGTGGTGCCAATCCTGGGCAGCGGGGAGTCGACCTTTGCTTCCCACCCCCATTCGGCCTTCGGGGGACAACTTTTATGGGCGCCGCATTCAAGTAGTGGCTGGGTCTAGCCCCGAGTGTGGGAAGTGGCTGGAAGCGTGCTGACCACTGAGGGGCACGCGGAGAAGTGGGGTACGCCTATTCTTGGACCCTTCGTAGGGCAGGGCCGACAGAAAAGCAACGTAGTGTCGAGGTTGGGCATCCTGTCCGGAAAGCCCGCTCCGCCCAGAAAAAGTTGTAGGAGAGGAGGGCGGAGCTCCAGGACGGGCAGGTCCGCGCACGCGCTGCATGGGGATTCCGGAAGCGTAACTAAGAAATGGGATGGAGAAGTACGAGCGGATCCGAGTGGTGGGCAGAGGTGCCTTCGGGTGAGCAGGGGGTTCAGGGGAGGAAACTACAACGGGAGGAGAGAAATAAGCTCCAGTTCGGACCAAGAAATCAGGGTCCGACTAGCCCCGCCCAGAAGTGTGCGCGCCACTCTGGGATGCCCCGCCCAGTTATCAGTTCCTTAGGCCTAGCCGGGAGGCCCCTCCCCCTCCGAGACCACGCCCTCGAGGCGTGCCTGCAAGCTTCCTAGACGTCCTTTTAGGTTCCTTTGCATTAACAGGTAATGAGCGGCAGCCCCAGATGCCAGACTGACATACAATTCTGACTAAAATAGGCGTGGTCCTCTCCCATTCCAAATTTAGGCCATAGAAAATTTATACAATAACAAAGACATTGTTAAAACAGTAAAGTTTGAGAACTTATGAACAGTTATTAAGAGGCAGCACTCGGGCGGGGGGAGGGGCGGTGCACGTCGGTAATTCCAAGCACTCGGTAGCAGAGGCAGGAGAATTGCTGCGAGTTCGAGGCCAACCTGGGCTACATAGGAAGAGACTGTCTCCAAAAAAAGAGCCATAGATATGATCATTATGGTGCATGTCTTACTCAGGATTATTTATTTATTTTTGTTAGACATAGTAGCTCTGGCTGGCCTGGCGCTTTCTCTGTAAACCAAGTTGGACTTGAACTTAGAGTCTACCTCTGCCTCCAAAGTGCTGCAATTATAGGCATGCACCATCACACCAGGCCTTTGTCTCGATTTTTTTTGCCCAGTATGGTGGTCGCATATGCTTCTTTTTTTTTTTTTTTTTTCCTGTCTTTTTGAGACAGGGTCCCTCTGTAGCCCCAACTGGCCTGGAACTCACTATGTATACCAGGTTGGCCTTGAATGCACAGAGATCCACCTGCCTCTGCATCTGGAGAGCTGGGATTAAAGGTGTGCACCACCACACCCGGCATCTTCACATTTACTTACTTGGATGTGTAGAGAGAGGTCAGAAGACAACTTCAAGAAGTTGGTTCTGGGGGCTAGAGATGGTTCAGTTATTAAGAACACTGGGTTGTAGCTGGGCGTGGTGGTGCACACCTTTAATCCCAGCACTCAGGAGGCAGAGGCAGGCAGATCTTTGTGAGTTCGAGGCCAGCCTGGTCTACATAGTGAGCTCTTTAATCCTAGCACTTGAGAGGTAAGAGGCAGGGACCCTGACTTTAAAAAAAGAACATTGCTGGGCATGGTGGCCCACGCCTATGGTCCCAGAGCTTGGGAGGTAGAGGCAGGCAGATCTCTGTGAGTTCAAGGCCAGCCTGGTCTACATAGTGAGTTCCAGGACAGCTAGGGCTACAGGGAGACCCTGTCTCAAAAAGACAAAAACAACAACAACAACAACAAAGAAAAAAACACTGTAATGCCTTTAATCCCAGCACTCAGGAGGCAGAAGCAGGTGGATCTCTGTGAGTTTAAGGCCAGCCTGGTCTCCATAGCAAATCCAGGCCAGCTGTGGCTACAGCAGGGAAACCCTGTCTCAAAAAGACACACAACAAAAACAACACTGGGTTCTTCAAGAGGACCTAGGTTCAGTTCTCAGCACCTACATGGTGGCTAACAGCTGACCTTAACTCATGTTCCAGAGGTTCCAAGCCCTCTTACATGTATAGCTGCACATAGACATGCATGCAAAATACTCATGCACATAAAATAAAAATAAAAAAGAAGTTGGTTCTCTCCTTCTACCATGTAGATTCTGAAGACTGAGCTCAGGTTTAGCAGCAGTCATCTTTTACCCACCTTTTTACCGTTTTTTTTTTCCTTTCTTTTTTTTTTTTTTTTTTTTTGGTTTGGTTTGGATTTTTTTTTTTTTTTTTGGTCTTTTTGAGACAGGGTCTCCCTGTAGCCACAGCTGGCCTGGTGAATATTCACTATGGAAACCAGGCTGTTCTCAAAGTCACAGAGATCAGTCTGCCTCTGCCTCCCAAGTAGTCTCTGGGCTGCCTTGATACCTGACTAGAAACTTAGCTGGTACCTGCTTTGCACTTTGTGTACCTAGGATTGTGCACTTGTGCCTGCGTAAGGCTGACCAGAAGCTGGTGATCATCAAGCAGATCCCAGTGGAGCAGATGACCAAGGAAGAGCGGCAAGCAGCACAGAACGAGTGCCAGGTGCTCAAGCTGCTCAACCACCCCAATGTCATTGAGTACTATGAGAACTTCCTGGAAGACAAGGCCCTCATGATTGCCATGGAATATGCTCCAGGTAAGCCAGCCTCCTTGCCTCAGCCAGAGGGGTCCCTTACCTGCAGGACTGGTGGATACCATTAGGTGGCTTCCCTCTGGAAGAGACTTTGCTGAAGGTCAGATGTGTAGTGTTCTGGTATGACCCTGACAGGCACCTTGCCCTCTCTGATCCTGGTGCCCTGTTCCATAAAAGCGGTTGTCTTCAGTGTGAAGTATAGATCTTGATCAGTTCCCTGGGCCACAGGTGGAACCCTGGCTGAGTTCATCCAGAAGCGCTGCAATTCCCTGCTGGAGGAGGAGACCATCCTTCATTTCTTCGTGCAGATCCTGCTTGCACTACATCATGTACACACCCACCTCATCCTGCATCGGGACCTCAAGACCCAGAACATCCTTCTTGACAAACACCGCATGGTTGTCAAGATTGGTGATTTTGGCATCTCCAAGATCCTCAGCAGCAAGAGCAAGGCCTACACGGTGCCTGGACATACAGGGGACACTGAGGGTGCTACAGTGCTTGACAGCCTACTCTGTATCCCTACCTCCTCCTCTTTGCCCACAAAAATGTTGGCTTCTTGGCCCCTGGCTGAATGGTCCTGTAAAAAGAAGTCCCCTTGGCCTGCTTTGAGAAGCTGTCCCCAAATGTGTTTAGGACCAGAGCCCCAGCTCCTCTGTCTACCCAGGGCTGTAATACAGGCTTCCCTCCTGCAGGTGGTGGGTACTCCATGCTACATCTCCCCTGAGTTGTGTGAGGGTAAGCCTTACAACCAGAAGAGTGATATCTGGGCCCTGGGCTGTGTTTTATACGAGCTGGCCAGTCTCAAGAGAGCCTTTGAGGCTGCGGTGAGTAGAAACTCCCCTAAGAGGACAAATAGGAACTCATGCTCACTGGCCATAACTCTGACCACTTCTGTGTTTCTTATCTTGTGGCTGTTGAGTCACTCCCTCATAGCCTGCAGGTGGGTTACCCCAGGGCAGGGTTGTGCCTCTTCCTACCTCAGCTCAGACTAAGGTAGAGCTTGGGTCCTGCATCAGGCTTAGGGCACCTGAGGGCAAGGATGTGACTCCTGACTTTCCAATCAGATTAGACACTCCCAGGATGGAGTTTTCCAAAGCACCTGGGAGCTCCTTTGAGGAGGAGCTTCAACTTCCTTATCAGGCTAGGGACTCTTGAAAGTAGTGTCTGGCTCTCATACCATTCTGGAAGTCTTCTAATGAGACTCAAGTGTCCTGCAGGGAGGTCTGTTCTCACTTCCTTAGTCTTGGGTGCTGCTTTACCTAAGAGCTCAACCCAACACCCTAGCCATCCCCATATGTGGTGCCTTTGCAGAACTTGCCAGCCCTGGTGCTGAAGATCATGAGTGGCACCTTTGCACCCATCTCTGACCGGTACAGCCCTGAGCTGCGCCAGCTGGTCCTGAGTCTGCTCAGCCTGGAGCCTGCACAGCGGCCACCACTTAGCCACATCATGGCACAGCCCCTCTGCATCCGGGCCCTCCTCAATCTCCACACCGATGTGGGAAGCGTCCGAATGCGAAGGCCTGTGCGGGAGAGAGGGGTCTTGGGCTGTAGGGGCGGGGCACCCAATGGGAACAAGGAGGATGGGGTGAACCCTTCATTTCTACACTTAGATTGCCAGGAACAGTCCTTGTCCTGAGGCTCCCTTGTGTCCTACAGGGCAGAAAAGTCCCTGACCCCAGGACCACCTATGGCCCCTGGCAGCACAGGGAGCAGAATCACTAGTGCCCGCTGCAGGGGTGAGTTGGTTGGGACCACTTGGGGCCCCATGGACTCCCTACCATTTCCGCTATCTTAATTAGTCTGAAGTCCTGTCCCTACAGGCGTTCCCCGGGGACCTGTGAGATCGGCCATCCCACCCCCACTGTCCTCAGTGTACGCGTGGGGCAGTGGGCTTAGCGTGCCGCTGAAGCTGCCGATGCTCAACACAGAGGTGGTCCAGGTGGCCACTGGGCGCACGCAGAAGGCAGGAGTCACGCGATCTGGTCGTCTCATCCTGTGGGAGGTGAGCAGGTTGGCAGTGGACCTGGGCTGGGTGAGGGTGGGAGCAGCTGAGAGGTGGGGGTGCTCAGGCACCTTCCACTCCCCTGCAGGCCCCTCCCCTAGGCCCCCTCCTCCCCGGAGCAGTTGAGCAGCCTCAGCCCCAGTTTGTCTCACGTTTCCTGGAGGGCCAGTCCGGTGTGACCATCAAGCACGTGGCCTGCGGGGACCTATTCACAGCTTGCCTGACTGGTGAGCCTGTCCCAGAGTACTCTGTGGGGACTTAGGAGAAAGCCAGGCAAGGAAGGTGTCACAGTATCCCCATTTGACAGATGCAGGAAAACTAAAGTTCTCTTTTGGCCAGAATTACACACTGCAGTCAGACCCCTATCTTTTTTTCACCATCCCAATCCTTCCAGCCCTTTTTCTTTTCTTTTTAATGCCTTCCCTATCCCCTCCCCTCCTTCCCTTTTGCCCTCTTTTTCTTTTTTCTTTTGCAGTGCTGGGATTGAACCTAGGGCCACGCACATGGTCGGCAAGTACTCTACTACTGAGTTACATCTCCAGCCACCGTTTTATTTTGGTTTTACTTTTGTTTTCAGACAGTGTCTCACTAAGTCGCCCAGCCAGATCTTGAACTTGCAGTGTTTCCTTAATTTCCTAGTAGCTGGGATAGCAGGCTTGTGCCTCCAGACTAGGAGTTATATTGGTCCCTGGACCTGGAAACGAACCAAGCTAGCTGTGAAGCAGTCTCATGTCTCTCCTCTTTCCTCACTGCCCTCCTCCCCAGACCGAGGCATCATCATGACCTTCGGTAGTGGCAGTAACGGGTGTCTAGGCCATGGCAACCTCACTGACATCAGCCAGGTGGGTGTGAGTTGTACCCTGGAGAGAGGAAGCGAGGGAATAGTAGGGAGCCCACATCTGAGAGCTGATTGCAGGTTAGGGGTAGGGAAGTTAACAGGAGCCACATGCCCTACTAGGTCCCACGCTAGCACCTGCTCTTGGTCAGGCTTGGAAAGTACAGAAACCTCAGGCTTCCCCAATGGTTTCCCACCTGGCACTGTGTCTGCACATGGCTGGAGTTAAAGAGACAGTTTACCTTTTAAGAATTTGCAGCCTCTAAATTCTTGTCTGGAGGTAGGGGTGTGTGTGCTGAGGCCATTGGTAAGGGGCTAGTCCCAGACTCCTCAGTTCCCTTTAACTTTTCTCCCTCTCTCTAGCCCACCATTGTGGAAGCTCTGCTGGGCTATGAGATGGTGCAGGTGGCCTGTGGGGCCTCTCATGTATTGGCCCTGTCCACAGATCGAGAACTATTTGCCTGGGGCAGAGGAGATGGTGGTAAGCTCTCTACCTAGCTCCAGCCTTTGGGGACCTTCTCAAAGCTTCCTCTACCCTGTTTGTTCTCCATGTTCACCTACCATGTGTTCACCCTGTGCTGGGTGTGGAGATGAGTGAGTGAGATGTGGTTTCCTTTTTTTTTTTTGGTCTTTTTGAGACAGGGTGACAGGGTTCCTTATACCCTGTAGCCCCAGCTGCCTAGAACTCACTAGGTAGACCAGGCTGGCCTTGAATTCACAGAGATCTTCCTACCTCTGCCTCCAGAGTGCTGGGATTAAAGGTGTGCGCCACCATGCCCAGCAAGATGTTTTATTTATTTTATTATTATTATTATTTTTGGTTTTTTTGAGACAGGGTCCCCCTGTAGCCCCAGCTGTCCTGGAACTCACTATGTAGACCAGGCCGGACTTGAACTCAGAGATCCACCTGCCTCTGCCTCCCGAGTTCTGGGATTAAAGGTGTGTGCCACCATGCCCGGCTAAGATGTTTTATTTTTAATTATGTGGATATGTGTGTCTGTATGTGGATATGTGTGTGCAGGTGCTGTGGAGGCCAGAGGTGTTGGATCCCATTGGAGCTGGAATTATTGGAGCTGAGTGGGTTCTGGACACTAAACTTAGGTTCCTCTGGAGGAGCAGTATGTGCTCTTAAATAGTGAACCATCTCTCCAGCTCCCCACCAAATTGTTTTTCCAACAGTACTTATTTTTATTTATATTGTCATATATATATATATACATTTTATATATACATATATATTTTGTTTGTTTGTTTGTTAAACAAGGTCTCCCTGTAGCCCCAGCTGTCCTGGAACTCACTGTATAGACCAGGCTGGCCTCGAACTCACAGAGATCTGCCTGCCTCTGCCTCCCAAGTGCTGGGACTACAGGTATGCGCCACCATGCCCGGCTTTATATTATTATATTTTATCATTTTTGCGGGGCTGGAGAGATGGCTCGGCGGCTAAGAACACTGGTTGTTCTTGCAGGAGACCCAGGTTCGAATCCCAGCACCTACATGGCAGCTAACAATTGTCTGTAAACTCCAGTTCCAGGGGATCTGACAGCCTCTTCTGTCCTCCTCGGGCATGACATAACACGGGTGCACTTACCTACACACAGGCAATACACACATACATGTAAAATAAAAAAATAATAATTAAAAAATATTTTATTGAGCCGAGCGTAGTGGCGCACGCCTGTAGTCCCAGCACATGGAAGGCAGAGGCAGGCGGATCTTTGTGAGTTCCAGGCCAGCTGGGGCTGCAGGAAGACCCTGTCTCAAAAAAGACCAAAATAAAATAAAATAAAAAACAGAAAACAATGTGAATTTTGAGACAGTCTCCCTGCAGCCCCAGCTGGCCTGGAACTCACTATGTAGACCATGCTGGCCTTGAACTCACAGAGATCCGCCTGCCTCTGCCTCCCGAGTGCTGGGATTAAAGGCGTGTGCCATCATGCCAGGCTGGGGTTTTTTTTTGGTTTTTTTTTTTTGGTCTTTTCGAGAGAGGGTCTCCCTATATCCCCAGCTGGCCTAGAACTCCCTATGTAAACCAAGTTGGTTTCAAAATCACAGAGATTCACCTGCCTCTGCTTCCCAAGAGCTAGGATTAAAGGCCTGTGCCACTATGCCCATAATTTAAACACAGAATCTTGCTATATAGCCTAAACTGGCCTAGATTCACTCTATAGCCTGGGTTTTCCTCAGCAGTCCTCTTCTCTCTCCCCTCTTTCTCTGTTTGATTACTGTGTATGTACCCATCACACCCAGCTGGTATTGGGATTAGACCAGGGCTTTAAAGGATTTTGACCAGGTGCTGGTAAGATGGCTCAGAGGTTAATAATACTTGTTGCTCTTGTAGAGAACCTAGGTTTGGTTGGCAGTTCACAACTTTCTGTACGTCTGTATGTAACTCTTTTTTTTTTTTTTTTTTTTTTGTTTTTTTTGGACAGGGTCTCCCTGTAGCCCCAGCTGGCCTGGAACTCACCATGTAGACCAGGCTGGCCTTGAACTCTCAGAGATCGGCCTGCCTCTGCCTCTTGAGTGCTGGGATTAAAGGCATGTGCTACCATGTCCAGCTATTAATATTATTTAAAAATTTTTAGTTATTTTATGTGTATGTGAGTATTGCCTGCATGTAGGCAAGTGCACCTATGTTTTGCAATGCTTGCAGAGGTCAAAAGAGGCTGTTGGTTCCCTGGGACCGAAGCTACGGACAGTTGTTAGCTGCCATATGGGTGCTGGGATTTGAACCTGGGTCTTCTGCAAGAACAACCAGTGTTCTTAACCGCTGAGCCATCTCTCCAGCCCCTGTATGTAACTCTTAATTCCAGGGAATCTGATACCCTCTTCTGGTCTCAGGCACTAGACATGAACATGATGCACATACATACATACATCCATGCAAGAAAACACCCATGCACATAAAATAAATACATCTTTAATAATAGTAAGAAAAGGATTTTGACCAGAGGAAAAGCATTTCAGGCTGAGAACAGCCTCCATTCATGCTTTCTCAGTGGACCCTCCCTCATTCTGGCATTACCATCCCTAAAGCTCAAACTCCATCCTGGTTTCTTGTAGGCAGGCTGGGACTAGGCACCAGGGAGTCCCACAGCTGCCCCCAGCAGGTGCCTGTGCCTCCAGGACAGGAAGCTCAGCAAGTTGTTTGTGGCATTGACTCTTCCATGATCCTTACTGTGCATGGCTGGGCCCTGGCCTGTGGGAGCAACAGGTGAATAGATACATCAAGATGATATGCCTGCCTCCTTACCCTCCTTGGCTACAAGTGTTCCATCCCTTATTGCTTTCCTCCTACCAAGGACCACAACCAAAGAGGGTTAAGACTACTACTTGGTTCAACTTAGGGTAGGACCTGTCTCCTGGTGGGATAGATCCTGCCAGTCCCTGTCCAGAAATATGGGAAAAAGGAAGTCTATACAAACTGTTACACCTGACTTCTGATTCCACCCTCAGGTTTAACAAGCTGGGCTTGGACCATCTATCTCTGGAGGAGTCTGTCCCCCAGAAGCAAGTAGAGGAGGCTCTGAGCTTCACACCACTGGGCTCTGCACCCCTGGACCAGGAGCCTCTTCTGAGTGTGGACCTGGGTACTGCCCATTCAGCTGCTGTGACTGGTGAGTGGGACAGGCATGGGAGGCCCTCACCTGGCCTCCTCCAGACCTCTATTTGAGTCCCTGTTTCCTTCCTCTTTCCATCCCCATAGTCTCGGGTGACTGCTATACTTTCGGCAGTAATCAGCATGGGCAGTTGGGCACCAGTGCTCGTCGGGTCAGCCGGGCACCCTGTCAGGTCCAAGGCCTTGATGGGATCAAGATGGTGATGGTGGCCTGTGGGGATGCCTTCACTGTAGCCATTGGGGCAGGTAAGGGTAGTTATGATAGAGCTAAGCTGAGGCAAGCCTGTGGTGGGGTTATGCTTAGCACCTTTCTGGTGGAGCCAGTCTGGCTGTCTGGTGTATGGCTGCTTGCTAAGGCTGCCCTGTTCCTTGGGATTCTTGGCAGACGGTGAAGTGTACTCTTGGGGCAAAGGGGCCCGAGGTCGACTGGGAAGGAGGGATGAGGATGCTGGACTCCCTAGGCCAGTGCATCTGGATGAGACACATCCTTACACAGTGACTTCAGTGTCCTGCTGCCATGGAAACACTCTTCTGGCTGTTCGATGTAAGTTATCTTTTCCTATCTCTGCCATATCACAGGGGTTAACCCAGCTGTCCTCTGCACCCTACCTCATCCTTAGTAGTTACAACCAAAATTACTCAAGTCATCTTCTGCCCCCGGATAAGTGAAAGCAGAAGCTGTGGGGGGCAGAAGGGGGTGGGTGAAACACCAAGCCTTCTGCTTGGGTGGGCAAGGGCCTTGCTGAAGGGCTTCCTCTACTGCTCCCCAAGGCTCACATGCATTCTTTCCCCTCTTACTGCTCGGCCCCAGTTGGTGCTACACCTCCATTTCTGACCTGACAGGAGAGTTCTGACTCCAGGGCCCAGTGGTAATGGAGGTAGGTGATGCCTGATATAGGCACTGCCTTCAAAGAGGCTGCAGAAGCTTCTCTTTGATACTCTCCAGCGGTCACAGATGAACCAGTTCCCCCCTGAAGCAACAGGATACACCAAATGGACCACCCTGGAACTGCTTCACCTCCAAGTGTTCTGAAACCTACAGGTGCTAGAAGCATGACTGTTTCCAGCCTTCTGGATTATGTCTGCAATGTGGTAGAAGGGCTAGCGAAGCCCAGGACTTCTTTTCCTCTCTCAATTCCTCTTATTTGGTGTCTCCAGTCTTTAGCCTGGCAGAAGTTAACAGCTGAACCTAGTTTTTGGAAGTAGGATGGTCTTTCAGAGCCTTTGCTAAAAAACCCACCTGCTCCCCCCCCCCCCCCAGTTAGAAAGTAAGTCCCCCATGTTCACAGGGAGACTGGCGCCATGCTTTGTAGTACGGCAAGCCAGGGCCTGCTTGGACTGGCCATTAGGCCTGCCTAATCTTTGCACAGCCTGGAGCATAAGCCCCCTTGGCTTTTATCCTGAGGCAGAAGTTTGCATAACCTTTCAGATCCTCTCGTCCCTAGGGTGAGTGCAGGAGCCACAGAGTGTCACCAGGGGATCCTACTGAAGGTTGTCCCTCACCCCAGGTCTTTCCCCAGACCTAGATTTGGGAAAAAGTAGCTGGCTGGACTCCACCAGTTTCCCAAGTAATTCAAAGAAGTGCCAATAAAAATATCAACTGCACCCACATGGCGGCTACGAACCCTCCTTAACTCCGGTTCCTAGGGAATCCAAAGCCCTCTTCTGACCTCCTCGGCATTGCACTACACGGGTGCACTCACATACATGCAAACAATACACTCATACACATAAAATAAAAATAAAATATTTTTAAAAAAATCAACTGCTAGGTCGGGCGTGGTGGCGCACGTCTTTAAATCCTAGCACTCGGGAGGCAGGCGGATCTCTGAGTTCGAGGCCAGCTTGGTCTCCATGGTGAATCCAGGACAGCTGGGGCTACAGGGAGACCTTGTCTCAAAAAGACCGAAAAAAAATCAGACGGCTTGCTTGACGTATGGTCTCTTCACGGGTGGAGGTGGCCGCCGCTAGACACCCTAGGACCGGGCTGGGCTCGACTGTAGTTGCAGGGCCGGGGCGGGAGGAATGTGGGTGCAGCCAGAGGCCGGAGCCGAGGTTCTTCTGGCCCTGCGCCCAGCCCAGCCTCCTCCGATCTGGTTGCCAGGCTTTAGCTGCTTAGCACCTGGAAGCTGGGGCCACCGCTCCCTGAGCGGCGCATGTTGCAGGAGACCTAAAGGTGGCCTCTAAAAAGGCAAGCCTTTGTGGTGAGACCCGACGGAGCACCATCAAGGGCAAGGGTCCCCGTGTTCCTGGGAGAATCTGAGCCACGCTCTCACTTCCCAAGGGGGAGAGAAAGCCCTGCTTCCAAGGGTTGGGGAGCCCGACTTAACTTTGGCAGCGTGGGCTGAGTCGAGTGCTAGCGGAGTGGGCGGGGAACCCGGGGCGCTAGGACCCCGCGGGCGAGGCTCCGCCCCCTCTTCCGGCGGGCGGGGCGGGGTGGGGCGGGGTGGACTCGGCCGCGGCAGCCA